CAAAATACCCACAGCACAGCACAGTATGGAGGGTTGGTGGCTTCCCCTTGTGACCTCTGGGCCAACTGGGAGCTATAGCTCACCACCAATGCCCAGAAGCAAGAGAACAGAGTACTACATATTGCTAGCCAGGAAGATCAAAATTCAAGACCTGAACTGTGGATTTCACAGAACATGTATTGCTTTTGCACCAATGTAAAGTAAGAAAAAAGGCAAGTCATCTAGGGCCATCAGTATGTATCTTAAACTTTCAAATTAAACCATGAAGGGATGATTATCCTAGAAACACATCTTGTACAGAAAGGGGAATGTCTGAAACTAACAACTAGCTTTCAGAAGCTATAATCAAGAATTCAAGGGCCAGGAGTGGGGGTGGCTTGGGGATAGAGCACTTAGCTAGCATGCTGGAGGCCTAGATTTGATACTCAGCACTGGAAAAAAAAAAAAAAAAAAAAAAAAAACTTTCAAAAAGTCAGGTTTAGAAAATTTATAAACTCAGGCTGTTTCTCAAGCTTTGATAGGTACCTACACCACTGAAATGGATGACTTCTTGCAAGAAACTTCTTTCTCTGAGAACCACTAAAGGTCTCTGCCTTTAACCTAGAAGCTGCTGGAAAGTAGTTTTGCATAATCACAGTCATTAAGTCTGCATTTCAGTCGTTTAACTATTACTTTCCTCTGTTGGCTTAGGGGTGATGCAAAGCTGGTATATTATCTGTATCCAGCCTTGTTACTCAGTACCTACGCAAGTCGTTGGCCCTGGAAATGTACCTCACCTGTTTCATATGCTCTCCAGCATGTTCCATTATGCAAGGCAGTTTTCCAGTCCCCTGTTTATATCACACTGTACAGGCTACAAATGTCTTTATGATCATACTTCCATTAGATCCTCAAATTTCCATCGTGAGGCAGGCATGTATGTCACTGCTTTCCAGATAGAAAAGCAGAGGTTTACTTGGCTAACTAAATGACAGCAGGAAGAACAGCCATGGTATTTTGTGTACACTACTTTACTGCGTGCCAGACAGTACCGTTTCCAAGCTCAGATTTTACACGGGCTAGGCGGTTTCTGGAGAAAAACAACCGAATGTACTAATGTTCAAGGAAAGTGTAAATAAAAACCTAAAGTATCCAAAATTAAGGCACGATGCCTTGTGATATTAATATAAAAACCATCACTTCAATGTGGACTATTAAAAGACCTCAACTCCTGTCTCACCAGGGCCAGGGATCCCGACTAGGAACACCTTCCCTTGCTGGGGTCTCAGTTTCCCCCAAGTGGAGGAGGGCTGGACGTCCAGCGTCTAAACTGGAAGGTCCAAGTCTTCCTCCTTCGTGTCCCCACCCTCACCTCCGTCTCGGAATTCAACGCTGCTCACACACACACACACACACACACACACACACACACACACACACACCACCGAGGGAGCTCGGAAGAGCCCTTGCAGAGCAAACTGCGGCCCAGGGAGAGGACCAGGCTCTGTGCCGGTTGCCAGGGAAGCGCCCCCCCCACCCCGGCATTCTGAGAGCCCGGAGGGCCGAGGCAGCCCACTCGCCAACCTGGGGTTCCCGCCATGCAGGATCAACCCAACAGCGCATGCGCGGCCCCGCCCTACCCCACCGGCGGTGGGAGCGGTGGGAGCAGGGCCTGGGGAAGAGTCCCGCGCACCCACAGCCCCCGGGGGCTGAACCTGCGCGCGTTCGCCACAGTAACACAGCCCAAGAGCTGGAGGATTAGGATAGGGTTTACTGCAGACCAAATCTGAGGTCTGAAGCAGGCCTGTGGGATCATTTAGTGTCTACACTAAGGCACTGGTTCTGGACCTCTGTGAGAATCTGATTCCTGGAATCTATCTCAGACAGCCTAAAACCCAGGAATTTGCATCCCAGGTAATTCTGGGATAAGTGGTAGTGACATAAAAGCAGAGAATTGATTGGCTCAAAATCTAACCATGGGAAGGACTTGGCACAGCCTGGTGTAGAATTCTGATTTCCTGACTTATACCCAAGTCTTCCCCCTCCTCTTGCCTCCTTCCCCTGCTGCCTTATTTCAGGGCATGGTTTAATCAGTACCCAGCAGACTGGCAGGCAGGCAGTCTTTCTCAGAACACCAAAGAACTCCATCCGGCAAAGTTCCACCCACAGCTTTGACCACGGCCTTGGCTGCACAGAGTTTGGTGACCCTGCAGAAAGCTATGTCCCCTCCCAGCCATCAATGGCTTGTGTGAGTGTACACACACCCGCCCACCCACGGGCCTATACGTGATCTCAAAAGACTGTCACCAACAAAATGTAAAACACTCCTGTGTGTGTGTGTGTGTGCGCATGCACGCGCGCGTAGAGTTTGGGAGTGTGACCCATGCCTGTGTGTGGATGCAGCTCACATTTAGGCACAATCAGTATCAGGCAACAGCCTCAGTCCAGGACAGCTGGATTATGTGTGCAGACAGCCACTCTTAATGGCCCTTGATAGGGACACCAAGATCCTTTGCTTATCCTCATGAAAAGCAGCTGGGGATAAGCACAGGGGAGACAGACAGACAGACACACAACCCATCAGGGTCATGGACTACAAATCCTACCTACCCCTATAGCTGGAAGGGAGAGGGCTGTAGACATTTAGGGCCCTGTTCCTTTCAGAATCCCTGGGGGTCTGGAAAATAGCTAGCAAAGTGTCCCTGCTTGAGACTGCAGGCAGTTCCACAGCGTGGGACTCCCTGCAGAATAAGGCTGGCTGTTCTCTAAGCCATTCCAACACTGAGAACTGTGTCATTCTCTTCTGTCCCTCCCAAACTGCTATCCTTTGATACTGTCCTGTCCCAGCACCGCTCGTTCCAAAACCTCAAGGCTACAGCTCTTTCCGAGAAAGCCAGGAACACAGCTGTAAGTTCCACTACCCTGGGGGAGTTCCAATGCTCCCTCCTGGCTCCAGATGTAAAGGAACAGCTGGGGGGTGGGCAGGAGGCTCATCTGGCAGTGAAGCATGGTCTGGAAAGATGAAGAACAAAGGGCAAGAGACAGGCAGACAGCATGGCTGGTAAGGACTGTAAGGACCTGGGAAGAAAACAGTCTCATCACCGCCTGGCAACTGGCTGACAGCCTTACCAAATCCCTCTGGCGCTGCCCTCCAATCCCCCACCAACTTCTGGCAGCCTGTGACCAGGCAGGACCTTTCATAAACTCCATTTTATGATTTCCCCTTAATCTGAGAAGGGAAACTTGGCGTTCTTTGTATGGCCCCTCCCCTGTCCTTAAAACTCACTCCCCAGCATGAGACTGTGGTAATTGAAGAATGTTGAAGGAGAAAAGAAAGACAGGAAAACATTGTGCCACTCCCATGGTATCCTCTGATCCCTTTTTGCTTTCCTCCCCCGGGGAAGTATACCAGCATACAGGCTGCCAGGCTGGGTGTCTGCATACAGGTCCTCTCTGGGAACCACTTGTCTTCATGCTATGCCTGGGTGGCAATGCATACCCAGGCACCAAGCACTATCTCAGTAATAACAACCCTGCGTGACTGCATGATTCCTGGCCTAACAAACTTGAATGCTGCCACACCTCTATTCTACCTTCCCCAGTCTGAAAGGGAGTTTTTTATTTGTTTATATGGTTTTGCTTTTGGTACCAGGGATCAAACTCCAGTCCTTGCGCTTGTGAGGCAGATGCTAGAACCCACGGAGCTAAATCCCCAGCCTCCCAATCTGAAAGGACACAGGGCCTTACCACTGCTTCCGTTTTAGGAAAAATATTTTAATGAGGTCCACTTTTGAGTGGCCCCCCTCACTAGTGCTCCTCCCATGCCTGCTGAGAGGTAGCAACCCTTCTCTGGAGGGCACCCACCCACTCCAATACCTCCACTCTTCTGGGAGGCTCATCACATGTAAGTTTTTATAAAAATTTCTGGATGCCATGGGACCAGCCCACAGCACTCTCCTGTGTCATAATTAAATAGTCCATTAAATAATCTCTGTGTGCTGGCAAAAGGGGATGCCTCAGCAACAAGTCCCCTGCTTTGGACAGGCTCCCGGGGCCCAGGGCCTCCGCCTTGGCTGGCTCAGGGCTCCATGAGAGCAACCAGGGGCATGGACTCATCTTAGGCCAGCCCAGCCCTGGGACCTGTTTAGGGGAGGGTTAAGTCCAAGTGGGTAGTGCTGGCACCAGGTTCCCTCACAGACATGGACAGGGGCATCCAGGCATTGAGCGGGCAACTGATGGATTTGCCAAGTCAGAAGTAAGTAAGGTTCTTGAGAGCTCCCATCTCTAGCATCCGCTTGATGGCCAGGGCTTCTTGGGAGACGTTGTGGCCTGACCCCTGTGGAGAGAGCCAGGAAAGGAAGTTGAGGGGCTCCGGGGGACCTCTCTGACCCCAAGAAAATCTCTTTTCCCTACCCGACAGTCCCAGTCTTCTTGGGAAATCTCTCCTGCTGTGGTGCTTGGAAGGAAGACTGAACCTGAAGGGACATATATGGAGGAGACACACTGGGAGTCCTGATGCCTCACTACCACTTCTGACTCCAAACGACCATATCGGGAGCCACCTCGGGATGCCTGCACCCCTCTCACCCAGCACCCCTATGTCTGTCTGTTCCCCAGGCCTACCTGGCCCACTAAGTCCCCAAGTGGGGCTGCTTACCGCCATGGATTTGAGCGTGATCTGCTCATAGTAGTGAATGGTTTGCTTCTTATCAAAGGCATTGGGGTAACCGAAGCCAGCAATGTGCACCAGGTCGCAGAGGTGGAGGGCCATGGTGATAGCCAACAGGCCTGTGGTCGGCTTCTGCAGGACAAGGGGTGGGAAGGTATTAGAAGAAGCCCTGCTCCTCCCCGTCTCCTGGGCCCATGCTCTGAGATGGAAATGTGCAGTCATGGAAATATTATATATGTCACCTGTGTGGCCCAAGAGGACAGGCTCAAGCCAACTGAGCTGCTGAATGGGATTAGTGCAACTGAGAAACTGAATTTTTTTTTAAAAAATTGTGGTACTGGGGATTGAAGCCGGGGTGCTCAACCAGTGGGCTACATTTCCAGCCCTTTTTTATTCTGAGACAAGGTCTTGTCAAGTAGCTCAGGCAGGACTCAAAGTTATAATCACCCTACCTCAGCTTCCCACGGGCTAGTATTATTATAGTACTAGTATGATGACTGTCATTATTGTCATCCTGATTGCCACTGTCCTCCCTAGAGACATAGCTTCTCCCAGGTGTGTGAATTGTGGTGGCTACCATCGTGGGTATTACAACTTCAAACATCTGGGAGGGGGCTTGGGCCTCTAGGAAGGACAGCGGCAATCAGGATGGCAATCAGTACTGGTGGTCTGAGGACTGAACCCAAGGCCTTTTCATTAAGCTCTACCCCCTGCCAATTTTTTATTTGGAGACAGGGTCTAAGTTGTCCAGGTTAGGTTCAAACTTGTCATCTTCCTGTCTCAAGCCTCCAAGTGCTGAGATTATAAGCATGTTCCCCGCACAGGTTTATGTTAAATATTACCAAACTACAAAATAGTCCCCCCCCGAGATGGCATATGGAGAAATGCACCTACCTCAGCCCCAACAACATGCTTTGCAGAGCCCTTTAGCCATGCACTCCAGCTGGGGAGCCACTTCTGGGCCCCATCAGACCCCTTAATGCCAACCTCCTCCGAGTCATTTAGAGCTCTCCTGTCTTCTCCTTTCCGCTCTCTACCTGAGCTTTTTCACCTTTACTGCTTTAACCACTGCTGTGTTTTTCTCCTTTGCTGCTTTAACCACTGTGCACTGCTGTGTCCTCTCATCCAGTTTGGGCCCCGTAGAACCACTTGGACCTGCCTGGTCTGCCTGGACACAGGCTCCTTAAACACCAGGCCCTTCCTCCTGCTTGACTCTGTTAGTTAAATGTATTAAACATTATGCTGCTATCTAAGCTGGAAACCGAGCACAGTTCACAAACCTCTCAATTCTACCTGCAAAACAGGTTATAGTAGGCAGAATCGTAAAGGGGTCCGCCAGTGACCCTCACTCTTGTTTAATCTCTTCCTTTCACAGGTATGTGGAACCTACCTATAGGATGGATGTGTAACATTTCACTAAGTTACTATCTGTGGCACAGTTGGCCACAAGATGGAGACCATCCTGACAGGATGGCCTTTAAATCTGCATGTTGAGCCACACGTGGTGGCACATGCCTTTAATCCCAGCACTTGGGAGGCTGAGACAGGAGGATTGCTTGCTCTGAGTTCAAGACCAGCCTGGGCTACATAGTGACTTCCAGGTCAATCTCAACTACATAGTGAGACCCTGTCT